CCCCCCTGCTCCTCAACCTCACTGCGCCAGCAGTTGTGTTGTTCTGCTGCTCACCGTAGTCCAGCCCCTCTCCTATGGCCGGGTGGGCTTCCAAGCGTGAGCCCACGGCATACTCACCAAAATGCCGCTTGGCAGGCGGTACACCCGTTTTTTTGGCAGTGGAGACGATGCTGTTCCTGCCCTGTCGCATTATGCCCTGACACACTATGAGGAGTGGGAGAGGAAGATCGAAGCGTGGCAGAAGCCCATCCTGGAGAGCAGGTAGGGTGGATGCAAGCACTTTCCAGCTGGCCTCCTGGGGCTGATGAGAGCAGGAGCTTCACCAGCTCAGCTGCGCTGGTTGATTTTTTTTTATTTTATTTTATTTTTCCTCCTCTTGGTTGCAGCCAGCTGCCTTCCTGGTACAAGTCAGCCCTCTTCAATGAGCTGTACTTCATGACAGACGGGGGTACCATCTGGGTGGAGGTGCCCCCAGACTGCTGTGCTGAAGACCTGCAGGGGCCGGCAGGGGCTGGCCTTTCACACCTCCTCCCTGTCCTGCGGGAGTACGGAAGGTTTGCTTATTTGGAAGGTAACTTGCAGGGACAAGATGGATTGACCCAACACTACCCCTCCCCATCACTGCCACCAGGTGGTTTTAACCTGCCCTTGGGATGCTTCTCACACCCTGATGAGTAGGGAGCAGAGCTGTTCCCAGGAAAACCCACTGTAGTACCGTGTCCTGTAGGAGGTATCATGAGTTTTTCAAACCCCTGAGTGCTATACAGAGAGAATAGAAACCACTTCTAACAGGAGCCCCGGCTGTGCTGGGAAAGAACCCACCCTCCTGGGCCATGTCGGAGGGAGGACCTGCCCCTCTTTTCCTTTTCCTCTGGCATGTCTACCATCCCTCACTGTCTCCCTGGTCCTTCCAGGCCAGGAGTACCGGATGTACAACACCTATGATGTCCACTTCTATGCCTCCTTTGCTCTCATCATGCTGTGGCCCAAGCTGCAGATCAGCCTGCAGTATGACATTGGTGAGTGACCCAGGAGAACCTGGCTGAGGAGACGCTGGCTTGATGCTTGCTGATGTGCCATAGAAATCTGTGCCGTGGAGCCAGCATCGCACTCCAGCTCCTCTGCTGGGCCCAGGACTTGCAAACCCCCAACGTTGCTGCCTCTCAGTATCTCTCTGCCGAGCACTGGAATGCCTTCTTTCCTCACTGGAGGCTGGCCTGGGGAAGTCCTTGGTCTTACCTTTTCTCCCCATGCCCTTTGCAGAGGAGAAGCGTGGAGCTGTTTGCAGACCCTGATGCTTTGGGTGGACTTGGGGGTGGCTCAGTGGTGGCCTGACCAGTGGTGAAGCACAGACCTTTGCTGGGCTGTGGGAGAGCTGAGCCCACAGGGGTTCTCTCTCAACCCTTGCTTAAGGCAGTGGCAACAGTTGCTTGTCCGTTGCTGAGGGGAAACTGAAAGCAGCCTAGTGTCTTCTTAGCTCTTTGCAGAGGGCTGTGATCTTGTGCCTGGAGCCCCAAAGGGCAGCCTGGCGTGCTGGTGGCCATGCCTGTGCTTGGAGCTTGCTGCTGCAATGCCTGCTGCTTTTCTAATTTCTCTTGCTCTGTGTCCTCTCCAGCTGTCACTGTGGTGAATGAGGATATCCAGCCCAGGCAGTACTTGATGTGTGGTCAGACAGCCCAGGTGAAGCTGAAGAATGTGGTGCCACACGACATTGGGGATCCAGGTGATGGGTCTGGCTGGGACTGCTGGGGAGCAGAGGGCGTGAAAAGCTGGGAATGAAAATCTTGGGTGGTTTGTGGTGGTGTTGAAGACCACAGTGTGTGGAGTTTGTACAAGGGAGACAAGGGGAAGCTGAGCCATAGCGGGAAGGCTGTTCTTGCTAGAGATTGCAGAGAGTGCAACGTACTTTAGTACTGTTTAATCACAGCACCCTTTGGAGCTTGCTGCTGGGTAGCATAGGGGACGTTTGTTGCTTGCTGGCCTGCTGCATCCACTCTGTCCTTGCGTAGATGACGAGCCATGGCAGCGTGTCAATGCCTACCTGATGCACGACACGGCCAACTGGAAGGACCTCAACCTGAAGTTTGTGCTGCAGGTGTACCGTGACTACTACCTGACCCACGACTCCCTGTACTTGCGGGACATGTGGCCAGTCTGCCAGGTACTGGGAGGAGGTCAGGCAGTGGGGCATCCACCTTCCCTGGTTCTCTTGGGAGCCATGCGACATCCCAAGAGGATGGGCGCTCCCAAGGAGAATGTGAGGGGCTGCCAGGGTGCATCTCCTGCGTCTCCTGCAGGCTGTGATGGAGTCAGAGCTGAAGTTTGACACGGATAACGATGGGCTAATTGAAAACGGTGGCTTTGCTGACCAGACCTATGACGCATGGGTTGTAAATGGAGCCAGGTGAGTGAGAGATGTGGGTGTTGGAGATGGGGATGTGTGGGGTGGAGAGGTAGCTCAGAGCTGGGACCATGGTCCTCGTCTGTTGTGGGAGTTTTGTGCAGCCTGTGGGATGTCCCATGTTGCTGATGCTTCTTTCCTTTGGCCCTGGCAGTGCCTACTGTGGCGGGCTGTGGCTGGCAGCCGTCTGCATGATGTGCAAGATGGCAGAGGTGCTTGGGGATGCTGAGATCCAGAAGAAATACTCAGACATCCTCAGCAAGGGCAAGGAGGCATTTGAGAGGATGCTCTGGAATGGTGAGTGCTCGACAGTAGAGCACCGTGCTTGGCTGGCCACAAGTCCCTTTGGAAGGGGATGGCTCCTTCTTGGGTCAGGGAGCCTTACAGGGGTTGGGGGAAGGAGAGGAGATGCTGTTTCCCCAAGCAGAGGGCAAGGGGAGAGAACAGTATAGGTATGATGGTCTGGGAAAGGAAGGATTATAGACCCTTCCAGAAGAAGTTGCTGTGCTGCTGTCTTGCAGGTAGAAGTGTAGGGACAGTACACATGAGCCAAGGTCCTAAACTATCAATTTTAAACTATATCCCTGCTTTTTCCAGGAAAATACTACAACTATGACAGCAGTGGGAGTGATACGTCCAGCAGCATCATGTCAGACCAGTGTGCTGGGCAGTGGTTTCTAGGGGCTTGTGGCCTGGACCAAGGGGAGTTTGAGGTAAGAGAAGGGGCAGCCTGGTGTGGGTTGGGGTGAAACGGGACCTGCAGTAGGTCTGCCTACCAGGATGAGCTGCAGGGCTGGCATGTGGTGTGGATTACACATTCATGGCTAGTGCAGGGACTCCAACTTTATCCCCCACAGCGGTGCATGCTTGGGTGGAGGCTGTTGGATGCACATCAGTGCAACTCAAATTAAATCTGCTCTTTGGAGAGGCCACGCAGCAGGGGTGTTTAACCATGGTCAGCTCTGGCACACTTGGAGGAAAGTCCCATGGGGGTTTGCCCTTGGTAAGGTGCTGTTTGTTTAAGAACGAGAGAGAAAGGTGTATGAAACTTTACGTGTATTTTGCTGCCCAGTTTAAAGTCCTAAATGAGTATCTGAGGGAACTAGGGCTTATTTGGAGCCCTAAAATCTGTTGCGAGAGAATTGACTGGAGACTCCTCTTGTCTGATGGGAGGGTGAGAGCAGCTGCTGGTCATGCAATACCTGGAACAGATCTGGGAAGTGGAGAGCCATCATAGGGGTTATTTATGACCCATAGATAGTTTTCAGACCCAGGCTCTCTGTGGTGGTGATAGACAGTCACATGCTTTGGCTGACTGAAGTAAGGAATGGCTCTTGGCTCTGTGAGGGTGACGGACTTCTGTTCATATGGGAGGGGAGCTTCATGTGACCTTTTCTGGGAGCAGCTTGTGCTAAACACTCTGGCATGGAACAAGAAATGGGTGTCTGGTCATGCCTTGTGTAACTTCCTATCTTTTTTCATGAGTTTGTTAAAAAGAAACAACAAGCAACCCTAATTCCCTAGAACCAAACTAAACTTGCCTAGAACTAAACTGCCTTCCAATACCTGAAAGGAACCTACAGGAAGGCTGGGGAGGGACTTTTTACAAGAATGTCCAGTGATAGGGCAAGGGGAAATGGGTTTAAATTCAAAGAGAATAGGTTTAGATTGAACCTTAGGAAGAAATTCTTCAGTACAAGAATGGCAAGACTCTGGAACAGATTGCCCAGAGAGGATGTGGATGCTCCCTCCCTTGAGGTGTTTAAGGCCGGGTTGGATGAGGCCTTGAGCAGCCCAGCCTAGTTGAGAGGTGTCCCTGCCCATGACAGGGAGGCTGGATTAGATGATCTTTTAAGGTCACTTCCAACCTAGGCCATTCTATGATTCTGTGATTTATCCTAGTATTAGTCCCTAGAGCATGGGTCATTGGACCTGTGCCTGCGACTCCAGGCAAGATCTGGTGCAGACCTCATGCAGTAATACCCAAACATCCATTTTGAGGGGCAAACAGTAAACCTGGTACAGTCCAGAAACCTCCCTTGCCTTCCCATAGCCTCAGATTTTTGTTGTTGATGGTGGTACTCTGCTGTCCAGTGAGCTTTGAGCTCACTGGAAATGGCACTGGTGAGCTTCCCACTTCTGTTACTACTACCGTCGAGGTTTTTTTTCCATGTGTTTTGATCCTTTGCCTGGCTGGCAGCACTCCTGTTCATAACCTCATTAAGACGCTCCTACTGCCTGCACGCCTCAGTAATGAAATACGAAGTAAGAAAAGTCTGGAAAGTAAGAAAAGCCACAGCCCTGAGGAAACTGTGCCCCAAAACCCTCTGCCGTATATGGCTGCTTCACACCACTCCTCTGCTGACTCTTGCTCCCTAACACCCCTTGGGCTTATGTCCAGTGCCACATCACAAAAAAATAACTGTGTGAGGTGCTTGGCTTTAGTGTAGATAGAAATGGATCTACTGCCTTTCCACTGAGCCTTCCAGAGGTCTCTGATTGGACTGCCTAGCCTCCCTTGGCAAGATCCTGCCTGGTGTCGTCATGCCTTCTGTTTTCCCCAGCCCTGGGCTGCACCAGAAAGGTCCGGCACGTCCCCAGGCTGCACTGAGCCAGGAGATGCCTGGCTTTTCCCGTTCTTGCAAGTAGGTGTCACGGTTGCTCCATGCTGTCAATGCTGCCCTTGATCACTCTGCAAAGCTCTTGTTATGGTTTTCTCCCTGTAAGGTGGGTGTGGGATGGGGGTGAGCCAACCCTCCACTTTCAAAATCACCAAATCTTGAGCTTTGCTTTTCTTGCTGAGGCAGTGACTTCTGCTGTGCTGACACCTCCTATTTTTATTGCTGATGGTGAAAGCAGTGGAAAGTTTTATTTACTTTCAACTGTGCACAGAGGCTTTTAATCCTAATTCAGTCCTTCTTGTGTTGCTGCTCCACTGCTTTTTATTTGACTGGCAGGTGGTTTTGTGCTCAGGTGAAGTTGGTTGGGGTGTTGTTTTGGGGGTTGTGGTTTGTTTTTTTTCCTTCTGGTTTGTGGGATTTCATGGTTGGTTGTTTTTTTCCTTTTTAGGCAAGAAGTTATTCAGCGTGATATTTCAGTCTGTTCTTGTTACTGTTTTGAGTTTTTGCCCTTAGTTTGTTGAACAACTTTTTTTTTTTTCCCCCCCTGTATCAGAGGGGAAAGGTTTTTACTTCCTCCTGATAATCTCCTGATATGGCTGTTTATCCAGCAAGCACCATTGACCTTTCACAAGCCTTTAATTTTCATTTGGGATGAAAGTTTCAAATCCCTCATAACGGACACAGAAAACTATAAGGCATCCTGTGCATCTCAGTCTTAACCTTTTCAGTCCCAGGCTGCCCCTTCTCTCACCTCAGACTCCGCTTGCTCCAGGCCACAAACTCTTGCATCACCACTTGATGACAAAATCGGAAGGATTAAAGTTCTTGTGAAATCATTCAATTTCCCCTAAGCCTTGTTTCTAAGGCTCCCAGAATTTACTCAGACAAAGCTCCTGGTATCCACAACATTCACTTTGCAGATGCAAGATGCATTCTCGTGTCATTAGACTGGTTTAGCCATAACAATTCCATTTGGCAGGAAGATACCTCCAGCTTCACTGATCCCAGAGCATCCTTTGGCCACCTGTGGCCAGTGTCCCATTTGCTGTAGCATTGCAGTGCCTCTTGTAGCTTGTGCAAAGAGTCTGAGAGAACAGTACAGCAATTTTACCAGGAGAAAGCCTGGACCTCATATAGTCCTTAGCCTGAGAAACGAGTAGTGGTGACCATAAACCAAGATGAGGATGATGTGGCTGGCCAGGTCCCCAAAGCAAACTCCCAAGAGATGTGGGGGTGTGTCTGTTTGTGGTGACACACTAGTTGCATGAGCTGTCAGCCTCCCAAGGAGGAAGGTGCAGTGAAGTTCAGCATCTCTTCTGTTGAGCAACTGCGTCTTTTCCAGGAAAGAGATTTTTTTAACTTCATCTTTTTATTTTCCTGAAATGGTTATTTCCCCAGTGAGCAGTATTGACCTTTTTCTCATGGAAAAGCTTAACCCTGCTCCCTGGAAACACAGCCCGAGGGGTCTGCTTGAGCACTGAGCCCTAAGCCCCCCCTCTGCCTCCACACAGGTCTTCCCCAAGAGTCATGTTGTCAGTGCACTCAAGACCATCTTTGAGAAGAATGTCATGAGCTTTGCTGGTGGCACCATGGGAGCGGTGAATGGCATGAGACCTGACGGGGTGCCCGACACCTCCAGCGTGCAGTCCAACGAGGTGTGGATTGGTGTGGTCTATGCCTTGGCTGCCACCATGATCCAGGAGGTGAGTGGTGATGCTGCACCCCTCAGCACACATTGTGTCCTTGTTGCTCCATGGACGTGCTGATGGTTGTCTTCTCTCTGCCACAGGGGCTAGTGGAGGAGGGCTTTCGTACGGCAGAGGGCTGCTACCGGACGGTTTGGGAGCGGCTGGGCATGGCTTTCCAGACACCAGAGGCCTATCGTGAAAAGAAGGTCTACCGTTCACTGGCTTACATGCGGCCCCTTAGCATCTGGAGCATGCAGCTGGCCCTGGAGCGCAGAGCTGGACAGGCCCCAGCACCCACGCACCCCCACCAGGTCTCCATCCACCCCTGAGCCTGGTGCCACTGAGCAGGGCAACGGGTGCACCCACCAGGGGGCTGAGGGGGCCTCAGCTGTCAGGCAGGGACCCTTCCCTTCCCCCTCTTTGATAATACACGCATTGCTGTTTTCCTTCCCTACCTCCACTACATGCCCTCCACTTCAGGGGGCTTCCAGCCACCAATGCTGAGCATGAGAGGGGACCAGAGGTGCAGGTGATGCCTCCTCAGAGAGGAGAGGGGTGGGATAAGGAGGTGCTACTGGAGCCTGTGCCTCCACTTCCCCATCACTCAGGGCTCTTATAGCCTACAGGACTCCCAGCCATCCTCCGTTGAAGGTGGTGCCTTGTCCAGGAGCACAGGAGACCGCAGTCAGCGGGCAGGGTAAGGTGGGAGCTGGCCTGCAGGGCAAAAGGAAAAAACCCGTGGGTGCATGTGTGCGTCAGGATGTTGGACTGGTGCACACAGGCACATGGATGCTGTAGTTGTCCCTCCATTGTATGATGCTGCAAAGAGAGACTGGCTCTGCCCCAGGGCACCAACCCCAGGTGAGCCTGTGACAGATGCAATCCCCAGGGGTGCCCTGGTTCCCCGACAGTGACAATCGGAGCCCAAGCAGCAGGTCCTGGTCTGGTACTGTCCCACCCCTCCCTGCTGGTGCTGGAGGTGGAGTATCAGAGCATGTTTTAGGGGATAAATCAAATATTAAGTTTTTAATAAATTTATCCATCTCTCTCCTTTCTAGCGTGTCGTCTTTGCTCTGGGGGCAAGCTGGAGGAGGGATCCCCTGTCTTCTCCCCTTTTTCTTCATGGACTGGGATGGAGGGCTGGGGACGCAGAGAGGGGGCAAGCCCTAGTTGCAGGGTTGGCTCTTGCATGGTTTTGCTAATGGGAGCAAGATCTGCCACCCCACCCTGAGATGTGATGGCAGCTGAGACCTGCCTCTTGCTCCCTGGTTCTAGGCAGGGAGCCTAGCATTCCTCCTGAAAATGCCTCTGTGGGGAGCAGCAGTGCCTCAAGGCTGGCCATTGACCAAATCCTGTCTCCTCCCGTCCGGGGCTGGGCACCTTGCTTTCTTTTCCCTCTTTCTCTGCCAGCGCAGCGTTTGAAGTCTGTACCTGCCAGGTTTCGGGGGGGTGTGGGAGGGGGCCTGCTGCCAGATTTGGCTATGAGCTCTTTCTGGCTATTTTAGAACTTTTTGCGCTAAAGCCCTCCTTTTAGTCCTCGAGTGCCACCAGGGAAGCAGCCTGTCCTCTGTGTTGTAACTGTCCTCCCTTTCCACCCCCCTGGCAGCCCTTGCCTGTCCCAAGAACTGGGTGCAGATAGGTCATCGCTGTGGTGGCCCCGTGCTGCCAACGAGTGATAAATGGCCTTTTCTTTGCTCCCGGGGGAGTGTTCCAGCATCCGCCTGGGCAGCGGAATAGTGTTATCCGGGAAGGACAAGTTGTCCCGGATGCGGCCCTCCCCAGATCAGCTGGTGTCGTCCTCCCATGGGAGAGCCCACAGGTGATGTAGGGTACAGAGGTGTTGTCCCTTAGGGTCATTGTGGTGATGCTGGAGGGGGACAGCGGTGACAGGACACCGTTGTGGCTCAGCTGGGGTGCCCACCTCCATTTTTCTTGTGTTGGCAGCTACCAGGGATGGTGAGGTTCCAATCCAGCTGGCAAGGGACAAAAGCAAGGTACTGAAGCCAGCACAATTTCTGACTTGGCTGGGTTTTATTGCTATGACGTGTCAGTGTTGCTTCTTAATCCTAGGCAACAGGCCGCCTGCAGACTTTCTTTCAGTCTGTGTCAAGGGCTATTTCTGCTCCTTCCTCCTCTTTTGACTGTATCACCTCCATAAAACTTGCATCTGACAGATTCAGCTTTCAGCAACATCTGCAAGGGCATGGCTGTGGACTTGGGCAGTCCTTGGTTACAGATGATTTTCTCTAACATTTGCGTGCACTGCTGTTTTTCAATGGTGATTCAATCACAGACTGAACAGCAGATTTTGGGTATTCATTAACGCTTTCTTCTTATTATTCACTAACACTTTCTTGACCCCTGACACACACTAGTTTAAACCACCACCCTGCTGACTTTTAACTTTTGCTTTGGACTTCTGCTTTGGACTTCTTCCCTATCTGCCCTGCTGTGCCAGGGCACAGACATGGCATCGCAGGATTTAGCCGCAGTAATGATTGTCAGCCCTGTGCTGCTTCCCTGGCTGCCTGTTAGAGAGTACAAACACTGCAGAGATATCCCAGCTCTTTCTTATTTTATTTTTTGTCTATGTTGGGACTTCTCAAGAAGTCTATGTCAAAGCCCCAAGCTCGTCCCTGCACCTGCAAGATAGGCAGCTGAGCTTGGGGTTGATAAATACAGGGAAAATAAAGATTACGGGCAAATAGTGCCAATGTTGTTTACGTGATGCTAAAATAAACCTATGGCTGTGAATGACCTGTGGGTGGCCATCATCAGTGATGCCAACACAGGGACTCGTGTTGCCTGTGCCTGTGTCCACCCATGGCTACAGGGTCCCTGAGGGAGCTCTCTGAACCAAACTGCTGGCCATGAGGTGATGGCTGCCCCTCCTGCCCCCTTCAGCCTTCCCACACCGATTGTGTTTGTTATCACCAACCTTGGCTACTGTTGAGGCAGCACCTGCCTGCTAAAAAAAACAGCCAAAGCAAACAGCAGCTTCGTGAGAAAACATACTTTGTTGTGCAGTTATTTTCCAAGACAGAGGGAAGCAAACACTGGGGGAGGAGTTACCCGCAGGCAGCCAGTTTGTTGGCCAGCGAGATTTTGTGGACAGAGGTGCAAGAGAGCTGTGGGGCCCCTGCAGAGAAGAGAGGAGGACTTGAATACGGCTCCAGTCATGATGACTTGGGGAATTAAAACACACATATTTTAGGAAACTGCCTTGAAAATCACTGAGGCAGCGGTGAGAATCAGTCGTTTCAGCCTCCTCGCCTAGCAACTGCTATAACATAAAGAGATTTCTATAAATATGTACTTAATGTTATTCAAGAACACCTGCGTAAATGCGATTTTTGTCAGGGTTATAACATGATATCCGTGCTATTTGGGGAATGTTTATTTTTCATAAAACAATTCCTTCCAACAAAAGCCTGTTTGTAAAAGCAGCAGCAAGACATCATGCCCAGTTCCAGGGGAGAGGAGATAGGGCACTTCGTAGAACTGATCTGCAGTTCCTTCAGTATCACGGTGGAGAGGGGAAGGAGGTGTGGTATAAATGAAAGCCCTGAAAGAGCACAGTGCAGGGTGAGTTTGCACCGCTGATGGAGGAGCAGGCTGAGGCTGTGCACTGCAGCCAAGCCTGAGGTACCTTGGGGTCAAGGCTCCTTGGCACCCCATTGCAGCCCAGACACAGCAGTGGAGTGGCAAATGTGTGGCCAAAAAGCATGACAGCACTCATAACGGGTTTTCCCCAGCTGAGCATCCGTGCTGGTATTCCCCAGCCTCCAGGAGCCAGGACCTCCCCCATAAGCAGGGATGGACACTTTCAGCAGGCACTTCTGGTAAAAACTGCCTGCAAATATCCTTTCATAAAGCTGGGAACAGCAGATTTGGAAATACCCATGTTACACAATGCCCTGGCCAGAGCT